GAAGAGCATAATGTATAATAAGGGATAAAATAAGGAGGGATATTGTTCGCACAACCCTGGTCAGAGAGAAGCATGCATGGAAAACAACATAATGTAAACTAAAAAAAAAAAAAAAGAAACAGCACTAACTGGAATAAATTGATCCTGAATGAATTTAGTCTAGAAACTAAAAGAAAGACTTGAGCATTAAGAACAGTGACAGTACTGTGACTCATCACAATATCAGGGTTAAAAAAGTACTTTAAGGTCAGAGTTATTCCATTTCTAAATGGTGTCATATAAAATGATGCTTAAAATAGTAAAAAAATATTTTATGAYCTAGGAAGTCCTGGACCATATATACATATATTTAAATTGTATTTAAAAAAAAAAAAAGAGTCAGAAAAAGTTTATCTTCTGCCTTCCCGGGGAGAAGCATTATCTCACAATCATAGGAAAAGGAAGCATACCTAAGTCAATAGTACTAAATGCTAACTTTACATTTCAACTGCCTATTGCACTGCTCCCTGATTGGGCATGAGAGAAGTCGCATGAATTTTTCATTGATTTTAGGATGTATGTTCTTGCTTAATAACTTAGTATTCTTTCACAGAGAAAATTAACAAATTTGAAGAAATGCAGTTTAGCATTTTGAATGATAAATATTATCTCTTTACTAAATTCTRTGTGCATGAAGTTACGCAGCTGTTCACATGAACTTAAGTATGTTTCCTAAGTTGACAGTTAGTTTCCTAATGGGTAGGTTTGAATGACTGATTTTTCAGTTTGCGATAATATTCTCCAATCAATTCATTAAAATTATTCTCTGCAGCCAGCCCAGCTGTACTGAAGAATACTGCTGTTTTACTGTAGTGCTCTTCAGTGGGGAAAATCATATTTGATGATGTTTAGTATTTTTAGCCTTTAACAATTTATTTTGCTTCTCACTGCATTTGAACACAGATGCAAAGACTTTGTTTTTTTTCATAAAATGGCCTCCCATCACTCATATTAAACCATGGCCTGAGAAAATTTTATGTGCTCCAAAGGAGAAGCCTTTTAGAAAGCTGTGAGTCTGTAGAGATGGCAGATTATAATAGCAGCAGAATATTTAGGAAGGGTGTTTTCCTTTTTCATCACCTAGAGAAAAGAGATAGGATATATAATCTATAGGACATTTCCAGAGTGATTAAGCCTTCTGTTTTGTGCCTCAGATAGTATGACACCAGGGGGAGTAATTCCTCTCTAATCAGGACTGAGAGTGGCAAATGACAGGCTATAGAAATGGACACAGCAACTTCATATTATGTGAGTGCAGCAATTTCACTGAAACTTAAGTGGAACTGTTTCACACATAGAATGTTATGACCTTGAGTAAGRGCATAATGCAAGTTCTGCAGGAGATGCCATTTCCTCAGTATAGGGTTGAAAGCAGAGGATTATACTGTAGTTCTTTAGTAGGACATGAGGTTTGCTTTCTTATGCTACCTTTTAATGACATTCAGGTTCAAAACTGTATGTAGTCTAGTGTCCTCAGAGTGCTCCTTAGTGCTTAGGTTGGCAGTGTGGGATGTATGTGAACAGTTCATATCTTTAACCCCTTACCCTCAGCTGGTTTCTGGAAAAAAAGGGCCCTGAACTCAAAACTTTTGCACCTCCATCTGCACACAGAGGTGCTATGTAGTGGCTGCATAAAAGCAATGTCAAAGGAAAGATGTTCAAAATGGTGTCCTCCACTTATACTATGCCAATTTTAGAATCTGTATCTGCAATCCCTGAGCAAAGGAGATGCAACATGAGAAACTGTGCCACCTTTGCTAAGCTAAGTTCCTTAGGGTTGCTCATCATTTCTCACCATACACAAAGATTTTATTCAGCTTAATAAAATCCGAACAGTCTCAGACTTCGGAAGTGATAGCAACTTCTTTCTAGATAGTCCTATATACTGAAGATTCTTATACCAGGARACAGATACTCTCTCAATTCTCCATCAGAGCCAGGTAGTATTAACCAGTTAGGTGTTTCCCCTACTAGCCTAGTGTAGTGTTGTCACAGAAAGCACTAGTACTACATTCTCAAACTTAAACAACAACAACAGGATGTTGCAGCCCACATCATCTGTGCATGCACTTAAGAGATGTGCATGTAAGAGATGTGCATGTAAGGTCACAGAAATCACTGCGCAAGTCATACCATCAATGAGCCTTTCCACAACATCATGGCAGGCATGGGTGCAAAAATCTTAGCTCAAGATCTTCCCCTCAGATATCCTGGGCAAGCACGGCACATGTAACATGAAAAAGCCATGACTTGGTGAGGCAGAGGTAGACTGACAGGTGGGCTCCTGTCTCAGTTTCATTTGTCTGCCTAAGTACAATAGGTAGGCAATTGCATAGCTAATGTGTTCCTTGGCAGCATGAGACATGAATTGTCACACTRCAGCAGAGCCAAATGTCTTCTTGTGGGCTTGGGAGACTGTCCACTAACAGACTTAAAAAAAAGAAAAAAAGTTGAATGCAGTGAATCTCATTAGGAATAATTGTGAAACAGTGTATCCTAAGGGAAGATTATTTATGTCTCCAGATAGGGAAAAAAATGGTGAGATAGTTAAAGCAGAAGAGTTTTTGTCTTTGCAGTATGTTCTTTCCTACTATAGGTACGATTTTTCTGAGTTACCATACAAAAGACTCATGCCCTCAAGATGGTCTGACATGTATTACAGATACATGCAGTAACTGTGGGTAGTAATTCGACATTCTGATCTCTCATCTTTTTATCTAATGGATATTATCAACATGAAACATTCATTGCATTGTTTATTACTTTTAGGATGAAGGATGTATGGACACAGAGCAGTCTCTGAGGCAAACCTCACTCGTTTTTTTTTCTTATTCTCATCCCTGTTGAGAGCCCTCACATATTTCAGGAAACCGTAGTTGATGTCTATGAGAACAGAAGTCAGGATTTCTGATTTCACATAAGGT